GGAAACACTCTCTTAAACTGCCATATAGCATATTTATTCAGTATAAATTCCAATTCCTTTATTCCTCAGAATAATAAATGAGAAGTTACACGAAATAAAGACATATAATATCATCTTTGCTCTCCCTCAACATTACAGAAGACTTAATATATCATGCACATTTCTGCTGCATGGTGACGTGTTTTTGTTCCACTAAACTGTAGTTATTTGAGGTGGACGATAATTTAGAGCAAAATATATTATACGTTTCACTTCGCTGTTGTATAAGGTTGACATTTCTGAATTATCAATTTTTGTTTTTGGACCTATTCAAATAATTCAAATGTCAGACAAACGTTTTTCCTTCTTCGGAAAAGACTGCGTTTCTTTCTTTTATTGGCTATGCCATAATTGCGTGTTTTTAGATTTAAAAGGACTCAATTAAGCTCCCTGCTTAATGTGGTCGAAAATTCTGAGATCCTTGCGCGAACTAACCAAAAGAACAAACGTGAAACAATCGGAAATAAAACAACTTTTTGAATCTGCAAAGGGTGAACCTATTTTTCCATCGTGTTTTTAAAGATATTTGTTTGTCTCATTAGGATAATTGTATATAAACGAGCATTATTATACATTTGAAAATCTACAATATTGTGACATGTTTAATAAGTATTGATTTTCGCGCTACTGTAGCGAATGAAGACATGCTTCTCACCAATTAGAGGAATACAGCGTACACTGTCGACAAGCGTAATAAGTTTTGACGTATTAAATTCTTAATTTACAGCTAAACATAAAGAATCAGCAAAGTTATTAAATTATCTATCTTAATATGTATATTTTTTTTCTTTATGTCTATATATATGTAAGAATATTAAATTAATATAATTATTTATTCTTCTCTTTGTTCTTCCTCTGTTAGAAACAATAAATATAACATTATTCCTTTAATGATATTTAAAAATATATAAAAAAAATCACTTTTACATGATTTACGATTGGGTCTACAGTTTAATACATTCAGATTTATCTATTCATAAGCATTAATAAGCAATTTCATGTGATATTTTATGCTACTACGACAATACGATTCTTGATAATATAGAAAAAATTCCTCGTTTTTAAGCTCGAAACTATCAGAACGATGACATTGATTCAGAAAATGACCACCGTTGCTGCCTATGGATCTGTGAAAATCCAGTTTTCCAAAAATAGATTTATCTGTCGGAACCGAGTGATGTCAAGTTCCACAATTCGGTGGAAATTCTAGAATTCAGCAGAATTCAAACAGTTCCTGCTCACTCTCATGCTCCCTTCTCTCCTTTCACATTCTCTCTACGAATTGGCAGAGTCTGGTCCAATTCTGCTTAGATTCTGGTAGAACCGGAATTCTGATTCTACCAAAATCTGGCGGAATTAAAGCAGAATCGAACTAGAAGCTGCCAATTTGAAGAGTGTGGCTCAATGTGATAGATGATATGTACTGAATTCCGGTTGAATTCTAGTAGAATTGCACCAAAATCACATTGATGGTGTGTGTTGAATGTGTCGAACTCTGTTAGTTATAGGAATATCCATGGAGTTGTGGAAGTTGAGACTGCTGTACCCGGTTTTGATCATTCATTTTTAACATCCTATATGATTTAAAATCGTAGATTTGTATTCTATAATCACGTTTTATCGAAGCAATTTGATCACAGTCAAAGGGCATACCTCGACTTCCAGAGAAGGATGGGGATAAACAGATTTCTTGGCAACCACATTCACATTGTATATAAAAACGAGCAACAATTTCTGATGTTTTTGTTTTCTTGATGGCAGTGCCAGTTTCATATTTCAACAAAACATTTTGCTAAAAGAAAAATAAAAGCTCTTAGGAAACACTTACTCTCATTTACCCGCAACCACTTGTTACACTCCTACCGCAGTGTTAATAAAATACGACTAGCGGTCAAAAACCTTTACGGATACATCTTCTAAAACAACAGCATGTTCAAAAACTGGTTCGAAAGAAAAACTTATTTTGCTCTGAAAAATCAGATTTTCAAACGCTCGTGTGTTATAGAAATAAGTTGAATACATTTATCCGTCTTAAAGTGAGATGGAAGAAAAATAATAAGTTGCATAGCGCAGGCAGTTTCTTCTAGAGTATAGTGTGAAGTCGCATAATTGGTAGACTGTGTGCCTAAATTATTTGACTTTTTACTGTAGACTTAACTTACCTTATCAAAGCGGTATCCTCTCATTTGGTCTCACATTCTCGTTTTATTCCTTATATTTTTTCTATTATTTTATTTATTTTATAACTCTCTATTTCTTTCTATCAACTGTACACTAATCAATATTAATATAATTAATTAAAGTAGTATAAGTTTCATTTACTATTCTATTGACAAGTTACATGAAACAGATAGTTTTACAGTATTAATATATTTGTCACATTTAATTGTAAGTTCAGTTTCAGACAGGAAAAGAACGAATATAACTGTTCCAGAATGAAGAGAATGAATATAATCATACACGTTACAAAGACTCATTAATAAAAACAGTAAAACGTAAGATAATCAATGATAATTGTGATAATAAATTAAAAGAAATATTTTAAAAGATATGAGAATGGTGTTTTGTTTGAAACTGAATTTACAATTAAATGTGACAAATATGTTAATACTGTAAAAACTACCTGTTTCATGTAACTTGTCAGTAAAATAGTAAATGAAACTTATACTACTTTAATTAATTATATTAATATTGATTAGTGTACAGTTGATAGAAAGAAATAGAGAGTTATAAAATAAATAGAATAATAGAAAAAATATAAGAAACAGAACGGGAATGGGACGAAATGAGAGGGAATGAAAACGAGAGTAAATCATCAAAGCAGTCGAATATGGTAATGAATGTATCACTTGTATGGAAGAAGTTAAAAAAAGAAAGTGTTGTTATATATTGATGAAACGACTATTATAATTTTTTAAAAGCATCATACAATATCGCGTGATTCACCGTTTTCTTCAAGTGTGTTCTATTCAGTATATGGTAGAAAGATTCTGTAAAATTTTAGATCATTCGACTACTGACATTTCCCAATTTCAAGACTGTCTTTTGTAAATCTTTCTTTTACTCTAACTTCGATTTCTTTTGATTTTGTAACTTATTGTTCTAAATTATATATTTTTTTTTTTGTAAATGTTAGAAACGAAGTTTGTTCAGCTTGGAAACAGCAAGAATAAAGTACTAACACGCACACACATTATATTTTTATCATGAAATATGTACAACAGGGATTGAAAAATTCTTTTAAGTTTCAGGATAGCGTCTAATAATTGTCAACTAAACTCTATTCAGATATATCCACGAGAAGAATATGCAATAGAGAAAATATAGATGAAGTTTACATTAAACAGAAAATATAATATCTTATCTCGAATTGTATGTTAGAAATCAATTATGCTTTTGTTGGAAGAAGAAGAAAGACCAAGAGATAATCATCTGTATCTACTTTATCAATGTCAAATAATATATATTCTGTTCGCACATTGAATGTGATTTCTAAATATAGTGATAGTATATGATGAATAGACAAGTCCATCATGAACTCTACATCATGGTGTTCAGCCTTTTCAAATAGATGAACGTCTCGACTCCATTCTCAACCTATTTGGAACATAAATATACGGTAATTTTTTTTTTTTTGGAGGTGATTAAATGTGTATTCAATTAGTGAAACAAACACCAGCATCTATAAATGTCATTCTAATCTAAGGAGTATGTATGTGTTTATGCCAGAAGAAAAGAATTGATTAAATAATCTATAGGATTTGTTTTTCTTTTGTCAGAGTATACAACATTCTTCTACTTTTGATATCTTACTTTAATTACATAGATAGAAAGAGAGAGTCATGATAATTGTGAAACGACATTTCTATTGCAACAGTATAATAATAACATAAAGTAGAAAATACAATGTCTGTAGACTAGTTATATGATCAAATAAATAATCGTCCCAATTAACATCTTTATCGACGTTCAGTAAATATGTAAAAATTTGATAATAATAATAATAATCGCAATGTATCGCGATCGTAATCATCAAACCCACAGAGAATTATTAAATAGTTCAAATTACAAGACCACCAGTGAACGATATAAATTTTCAGATATTTACGGTAATTGAATGTGTATGTGATGTATGATAATCAAATTTCTCTCTCTCTCACTTCTATTTTGAGCGAAAAGTAATACATAGTTGCAGTTGATCATTATGAATTGAGTATAAATATATGACTTTTAAACAGTTCGGCTTCGGCATTTTTTTTGATTTTCTCCATAAAATTCTGCATAAAACGTTATATTAGTGAAATATAGCCGAAACCAATTTCATAGAGAAATGTGCTGCTATTTATCACCTATGACTATTGTCTATTCACTGTTTTTTGCATCTTAAGTCGTTTTCATTGTTGCATAAGAGCACCTCATTCCACGTAGGACGTGACATTTATAGGTTTGCAGTAGAATGAAGTTGAAAACGATACCTATTGTACAACATAAATGTCGCATGTTCTCGTTTCAGACTATTCATTATTCCGAGATCTTTTCTGCAGGATAAAAAACTAAATAATTTTTTCCGATATCTTTTGTCTTTTTTTTCCTTCTTAGATCCATTCTGCTAATTTTCCGAGATCTTTTATTTTTACGTCCAATCTTTGCTATCAAAGTCAGAGTATAATAATTGTATGAAGTTTTGGAATGTGAAAATCAATTATTGTACCTATCTCCACCTTAACAGGATGAATTGCCAAAAGATTCGTCCAAAAGATGAACTCTGAAAAGAATCTCTTCTGTTATATAATAAATCATTATTTTACGTGAGATCATACCTTTATTTCAAGAGCAAGAACTGACGAATTAATCGTCAAAGATAACCAAATCCATTACAAAATTCTGAAAATTCGATATTGTTCAATATTTAATTCTTCTGGTTATTGTTCTGATCACAATAATAATAAAATTCTGCGCTTTCAGAACTCTAATCTAATCAGAGCTCGTGCTTCGGCTTCAGCTGCCATCGCTTTCTGCAGTGCAACAGGAAGACGAACATCTTTTCTGTAAAAAAAATGAAAGATATTACTTTGTTATTCGATTTTTATTATATTATCGATACATTCTTACACTTCTACTCGTTCAACTTTGACACCCCAGGGATCAGTCGCTTCGTCGAGACTAGTCTAAAAAAACAGAAAGTTATCATAAACTGAATGAAAAACGAAAACTTGTTTCTGTACCTGAATAACTGTATCAATTTTGTCTCGTTCTGCCAAAATTTCATGTAACGTTTTAGTACCAAGTACCTATAGAGTGTATGTAGATTTAATAAGAGAAAACACTCATTTCATACTCTACAACCTATATCCCAT